TTAAAGAACTAAATCGTTCTTTGATCGTTTCTAAATGTGATCTAAACTAAACGTTTAGATCACATTCCACTTCTGACAATAGAATTTTATTCAGTCATTTTTTTTAGTTCTCATAACTTAAATGTAAGGAAACGCTCTCGCATGTGTCAGGATCGCCGAGCGGTCTAAGTCGCTGCAATCAGGTCGCAGTACACTTGCGCGTTCGCGGGTCAAACTTCCACGTCGACCAATTATATTTAGTTGAGTTAATTTTTTTAGGTCTCATAAAGTACAAATTAAATTTACGATTTCTCAAATTTCAGACCACTTGCGTGTTCGTGGGTTCGAATCCCACTTCGGACAATGTATTTCTTTCAGTCATTTTTTGAGTTTAAAAAGTTATATGCAAGGGAAGCTATTCTGTGTGTCAGGATGGCCAGGCGGTCTAAGGCGCTTTCGTTCAGGTCACCAGTCAATTCTGTGGGCGACCAGGTTCAATTCACTTCCGGACAATAAAATTTTATTCACATACTTTTTTAGGTTCCAAACTAAATGTAAGGGAAAACTCTTTCATGTCAGGATGGCCGATCGGTCTAAGGCGCTGCGTTTAGATCACATTCCACTTCTGTGGGCGTGGTTTCGAATCCCATTTCTGACAATAAAATTTTATTCAGTCATTTTTTTAGTTTCATAAACTAAATGTAAGGCAAATATCTTTCATAGGTTAAGATTTCAGAGCGGTCTAAAAGCGCTGCGTTTAGGTCGCAGTAAAATTCTGCAGGCGTGGTTTCGGATTCCACGTTTGGCAATTATAATTCATTCATTCATTTTTAGTTCTCATTAATTAAATGAAAGGAAACACACTCTCCCACGTGTCAGGATGGCCGAGCGGTCTAAGGCGCTGCGTTCAGGTCGCAGTTCACTTGCGTGGGCGTTGGTTCAAATCCCACTTCTGACAATGTATTTCTTTCAGTCATTTCTTGTGGTTGAAAGACTTGTAAAGGAAAGCTATTTTGCGTGTCAGGATGGCCGAGCGGTCTAAGGCTCTGCGTTCAGGTCGCAGTCCACTTCTTTGGGCATGGTTCGAATCCCACTTCTGACAATAAAACTTTATTCACATACTTTTCTTAGGTTCCAAAACTAAATGTAAGGGGAAAAAACTCTTTCACACGTCAGGATGGCCGATCGGTCTAAGGCGCTGCGTTTAGCTCACATTCCACTTCTGAGGGCGTGGGTTAGAATCCCACTTCTGACAATAAAATTTTATTCAGTCATTTTTTTAGTTCTCATAGCTTAAATGTAAGTAAACGCTCTCGCACGTGTCAGGATAGCCGAGCGGTCTAAGGCGCTGCAATCAGGTCGCAGTACACTTGCGTGTTCGGGGGTCCAACTCCCACGTCGAGCAATTAATTATTTTAGTTATTTTTTTTTGTTTTCCTAAAGTAAATAAAAAAGGAAACGTTTTCTTAAATTTCAGGATGGCCAAGCGGTCAAAGGCGCTGCGTTCATGTCGAAGTCCACTCGGTTTTGGCGTGGGTTCGAATCCCACTTCTGATAATGTAATTTTATTCACTCGTTATTTTTTAGTTTTCATAAACTAAATGTAAGGCAAAGATCTTCATAGGGTAAGATTACTGAGCGGTCTAAAGCGCTGCGTTTAGGTCCCAGTAAATTCTGCAGGCGTGGTTTCGAATTCCACGTTTGACAATTATAATTCATTCATTCATTTTTTTAGTTCTCATTAATTAAATGAAAGGAAACACTCTCCCACGTGTCAGGATGGCCGAGCGATCTCCAGGCGCTGCGTTCAGATCGCCAGTCTACTTGTTTGGGCGTGGGTTCGAATCCCACTTCTGAGAATGTATTTCTATGCAGTCATTTTTGAGGTTAAAGAACTAAATGCAAGGGAAAGCTATTTTGCGTGTCAGGAGGGACGAGCGGTTTAAGGCGCTGCAATCAGGTCGTACTCCACTTGCGTGTTCGTGGGTTCGAATCCACTTCGGACAATGTATTTATTTCAGTCATTTTTGAGTTTAAAAAAACTACATGCAAGGAAAGCTATTCTGCGTGTCAGGATGGCCGAGCGGTCTTAGGCGCTGCGTTCAGGTCGCAGACCAATTCTGTGGGCGTCTGTTCGAATCCCACTTCTGACAATAAATTTTATTCGCGTACTTTTCATAGGTTCCAAAAACTAAATTAAAGGGAAAACTCTTTCACATGTCAGGATGGCCTATCGGTCTAAAGCGCTGCGTTTAGATCACATTCCACTTCTGACAATAGAATTTTATTCAGTCATTTTTTAGTTCTCATAACTTAAATGTAAGAAAATGCCCTCGCACGTGTCAGGATGGCCGAATGCGCTGCAATCAGGTCGCACGCTTGCGTGTTTGGGGCTTCAACTCCACGTCGAGCAATTATATTTAGTTATTTTTTTAGTTCTCATAAAGTAAATTAGGAAACGTTTTCTCAAATTTACGTGAAGGGTCAAAGGCGCTGCGTTCATGTCGAAGTCCACTCGGTTTTGGCGTGGGTTCGAATCCCACTTCTGAAAATGTAAATTTATTCAGTCATTATTTTTAGTTCTCATAAACTAAATGTAAGGGAAAGATCTTTCACAGGTTAAGATTCCTTAGCGGTCTAAAGCGCTAATAAAGCGTTTAGTCGCAGTAAAATTCTGCAGGCGTGGTTTCGGATTCCACGTTTGACAATTATATTTCATTCATTCATTTTTTTAAGTTGTCATTAATTAAATGAAAGGAAACACTCTCCCACGTGTCAGGATGGCCGAGCGGTCTAAGGCGCTGCGTTCAGGTCGCAGTCCACTTTGTGTGGGCGTGGGTTCTAATCCCACTTCTGACAATGTATTTCTATTCAGTCATTTTTTGAGGTTAAAAAACTTTATGCAAGGGAAAGCTATTTTGCGTGTCAGGATGGACGAGCGGTTTAAGGCGCTGCAATCAGGTCGTAGTCCACTTGCGTGGGCGTTAAGTTCAAATCCCACTTCTCACAATGTATTTCTTTCAGTCATTTTTTGTGGTTGAAAAACTTTATGCAAGGGAAAGCTATTTTGCGTGTAAGGATGGCCGAGCGGTCTAAGGCGCTGCGTTCAGGTCGTAGTCCACTTGCGTGGGCGTTGGTTCAAATCCCACTTCTGACAATGTATTTCTTTCAGTCATTTTTTGTGGTTGAAAAACTTTATGCAAGGAAAGCTATTTTGCGTGTCAGGATGGCCGGAAGGCGGTTTAAGGCGCTGCGTTCCAGGTCGTAGTCCACTTGCTGTTCGTGGGTTCGAATCCCACTTCGGACAATAAAATATTTCTTTCAGTCATACTTTTTGAGTTTAGGTTATATGCAAAAAATAAATGGCCGAGCGGTCAAAGGGAAAACTGTGGGCTTTCGAATTCCACTTCCGGACAATAAAACATTCACATACTTTTTTAGTCAGGATGGCCGATCGGTCTAAGGCGCTGCGTTTTGATCACATTCCACTTCTGTGGGCGTGGTTTCCGAATCCCATTTCTGACAATAAAATTTTATTCAGTCATTTTTTAGTTTTCATAAACTAAATGTAAGGAAATGCTCTCGCACGTTCAGGATGGCCGAGCGTTAAGATTTCAGGTCGCCGTACACTTGCGTGTCTAAAGCGCTGCGTTTAGGTCACGGTAAAATTCTGCAGGCGTGGTTTCCGGATTCCACGCTGCGTTTTGATCGCAGTCCACTTGTGTGGGCGTGGGTTCGAATCCCACTTCTGACAATGTATTTCTTTCAGTCATTTTTTGAGGTTAAAAAACTATATGCAAGAGAAAGCTATTTTGCGTGTCAGGATTGCCGAGTGGTCTAAGGCGCTGCGTTCAGGTCGAAGTCCACTTCTGTGGGCGTGGGTTCGAATCCCACTTCTGACAATGTATTTCTATTCAGTCAATTTTTGAGGTTAAAAAACTTTATGCAAGGGAAAGCTATTTTGCGTGTCAAGATGGTCGAGTGGTCTAAGGCACTGCGTACAGGTCGCAGTCCACTTCTGTGGGCGTGGGTTCGAATCCCACTTCTGACAATAAAATTTTATTCACATACTTTTCTTAGGTTCCAAAAACTAAATGTAAGGGAAAACACTTTCACTTGTTAGGATGGCCGATCGGTCGAAGGCGCCGCGTTTTTATCACATTCCACTTCTGTGGGCGTGGGTTCAAATCCCACTTCTGATAATGTAATTTTATACAGTCATTATTTTTTTAGTTTTCATAAACTAAATGTAAGGCAAAGATCTTTCATAGGTTAAGATTTCAGAGCGGTCTAAAGCGCTGCGTTTAGGTCGCAGTAAAATTCTGCAGGCGTGGTTTCGGATTCCACGTTTGGCAATTATAATTCATTCATTCATTTTTTTAGTTCTCATTAATTAAATGAAAGGAAACACTCTACCACGTGTCAAGATGGCCGAGCGGTCTAAGGCGCAGCGTTCAGGTCGCAGTCCACTTCTGTGGGCATGGGTTCGAATCCCACTTCTGACAATAAAAATTTATTCAGTCATTTTTTTTAGTTCTCATTACTTAAATGTAAGGAAACGCTCTCGCACGTGTCAGGATGGCCGAGCGGTCTAAGGCGCTGCAATCTGGTCGCAGTACACTTGCGTGTTCGCGGGTCAAACTCCCACTTCGAGCAGTTATATTTAGTTGAGTTATTTTTTTTTAGTTCTCATAAAGTAAATTAAAGGAAACGTTTTCTCAAATTTACGAATGGCCAAGCGGTCAAAGGCGCTGCGTTCATGTCGAAGTCCACTCGGTTTTGGCGTGGGTTCGAATCCCACTTCTGATAATGTAAATTTATTCAGTCATTTTTTTTAGTTCTCGTAAACTAAATGTAAGGGAAAGATCTTTCACAGGTTAAGATTCCTGAGCGGTCTAAAGCACTGCGTTTAAGTCGCAGTAAAATTCTGCAGGCGTGGTTTCGGATTCCACGTTTGACAATTATATTTCATTCATTCATTTTTTTAAGTTGTCATTAATTAAATGAAAGGAAACACTCTCCCACGTGTCAGGATGGCCGAGCGGTCTAAGGCGCTGCGTTCAGGTCGCAGTCCACTTGTGTGGGCGTGGGTTCTAATCCCACTTCTGACAATGTATTTCTGTTCAGTCATTTTTTGAGGTTAAAGAACTAAATGCAAGGGAAAGCTATTTTTGCGTGTCAGGATGGACGAGCGGTTTAAGGCGCTGCAATCAGGTCGTAGTCCACTTGCGTGGGCGTTGGTTCAAATCCCACTTCTCACAATGTATTTCTTTCAGTCATTTTTTGTGTTTGAAAAACTTTATGCAAGGGAAAGCTATTTTTGCGTGTCAGGATAACCGAGTGGTCTAAGGCGCTGCGTTCAGGTCGTAGTCCACTTCTGCGTGGGCGTTGGTTCAAATCCCACTTCTGACAATGTATTTCTATTCAGTAATTTTTGTGGTTGAAAAACTTTATGCAAGGGAAAGCTATTTTGCGTGTAAGGATGGCCGAGCGGTCTAAGGCGCTGCGTTCAGGTCGTAGTCCACTTGCGTGGGCGTTGGTTCAAATCCCACTTCTGACAATGTATTTCTTTCAGTCATTTTTTGTGGTTGAAAAACTTTATGCAAGGGAAAGCTATTTTGCGTGTCAGGATGGCCGAGCGGTCTAAGGCGCTGCGTTCAGGTCGCAGTCCACTTCTGTGGGCGTGGGTTCGAATCCCACTTCTGACAATAAAATTTTATTCACATACTTTTCTTAGGTTCCAAAAAATAAATGTAAGGGAAAACTATTTCACATGTCAGGATGGCCGATCGGTCTAAGGCGCTGCGTTTTGATCATATTCCACTTCTGTGGGCGTGGGTTCGAATCCCACTTCTGACAATACAATTTTATTCAGTCATTTTTTTAGTTCTCATAACTTAAATGTAAGGAAATGCTCTCGCACGTGTTAGGATGGCCGAGCGTTCTAAGGCGCTGCAATCAGGTCGCCGTACACTTTGCGTGTTCGTGGGTCCAAATCCCAAGTCGAGCAATTATATTTAGTTGAGTTATTTTTTTAGTTCTCATAAAGTAAATTAAAGGAAACGTTTTCTCAAAATTCAGGATGGCCAAGCGGTCAAAGGCGCTGCGTTCATGTCGAAGTCCACACGGTTTTGGCGTGGGTTCGAATCCCACTTCTGATAATGTAATTTTATTCAGTCATTATTTTTTTAGTTCTCATAAACTAAATGTAAGGAAAAGATCTTTCACAAGTTAAGATTTCTGAGCGGTCTAAAGCGCTGCGTTTAAGTCGCAGTAAAATTCTGCAGGCGTGGTTTCGGATTCCACGTTTGACAATTATATTTCATTCATTCATTTTTTTAAGTTCTCATTAATTAAATGAAAGGAAACACTCTCCCACGTGTAAGGATGGCCGAGCGGTCTAAGGCGCTGCGTTCAGGTCGCAGTCCACTTGTGTGGGCGTGGGTTCGAATCCCACTTCTGACAATGTATTTCTTTCAGTCATTTTTTGAGGTTAAAAAACTATATGCTAGAAAGCTATTTTGCGTGTCAGGATTGCCGAGTGGTCTAAGGCGCTGCGTTCAGGTCGAAGTCCACTTCTGTGGGCGTGGGTTCGAATCCCACTTCTGACAATGTATTTCTATTCAGTCAATTTTTGAGGTTAAAAAACTTTTATGCAAGGGAAAGCTATTTTGCGTGTCAAGATGGTCGAGTGGTCTAAGGCACTGCGTACAGATCGCAGTCCACTTCTGTGGGCGTGGGTTCGAATCCCACTTCTGACAATAAAATTTTATTCACATACTTTTCTTAGGTTCCAAAAACTAAATGTATGGGAAAACACTTTCACTTGTTAGGGTGGCCGATCGGTCGAAGGCGCCGC